CGGCCAGCGAGGGAGATCCCCACATGGTGTGGTAGACCTCTTCTGTCTCGCCTGCTGCTCCCCTCAGCAATGTGCTTCGGCAATCGGCCTGTTCTGTTCCCCACTCTGTCTCTGATGAATCCTTGCACTCTCCCGCGCCTCTGACCTGTACCCCAGCTCTTATATAAATAAATCTTTAAAAAAAAAAAAAAAAAAGAATGTGCTGTGGATATGAATGTGCTTGGAAGTAGACATGGAGGCCCTCTCACCCCAGTCCATGCTGGCACTGTAACAGGGTGGTCCCCAGGAAAGGGGGAGGTTCCCTGCCCCACCCAAGGAAGGGTGGAGCTGAGCAGGGAGAGATGAAGCTGAAGAAGAGACTGAGGAAGGAAGCAGGATGGAGCCAGAAGGAGACCTGGAGGAGGCGCATGGAGCCTAGAGACACGTAAAGAAACTGCTTGTCTTTTGGTCGTGGACTGGGTGACACAGATGTGGGTGAGACCCGTGGGGAGGTGACAATGGCAGTTTTTATCTTGATGTTGATTTTGCTCTTTTCCTTCCGGGCTTGTCCAGTTGTTTGTGACCCTTTTCTGTGGGTCCCCACTGGAAGGTGCTTTAGTCTTGTGGCAGGCTTTGGGGCCTTGTTCTGGGCCGATCCCATATGGATGGACTTTTACCCACGAGGGGATAGGTAACTTTGGGTGCTTCATTTAGAAACTAGACTCTTTGCCTTACCTGTATTGTTTCCTAGTTTTATTAAAGTTCCTTCCCATTAAAGTCTCATGTGTTTTGTGTTGATGCGGCGGATGGCAGAACCCATTTAGAATAGGCAGGTTTGCGGGGCTTGGGCTGCCCCTCTCCCTGTCCTATAACAGCACCATGTAACCCTGGGAACTTAGAGGTAACATCAAGAATGGTGGGGGGATACCACAATTAACTGACAGCAAGCTCAAGAGGCTTGACAAAACAAAGGCTTAAAATGATTAGGTAGGGGCCTCCCTGGTGGCGCAAGGGATTAAGCATCAGCACTATGAAGCTATCCGCAGCCACTGCAGCACGAGTTCGATCCCCAGCCAGGGAGCTACCCACACGACACAGCAGACCTCTCCTGTCTCATCCGCTACTCCCCTCAGCAGTGTATTTCAGTCAATCCGCTTGTTCTGCTCCCCACTCTGTCTCTGGTCAATCTTCTCACCTCCCTGCACCTCTGGCATACACCACAGCTTTTGTATGCATACATAAATAAATCTTTTTTAAAAAATGATCAGGTATCAAAAAAGAACCAACACTACATTTTCCATGCATAGCAGGTCACATGACATTCAAGTTCACTGAATTCCTGCTCTAACACAAGTCCACCTGTGAGACAGCGGGGTTCAGGTCCAAAACAGTGCAACAAAGCAGCCTGAAATAAAGTGAGTGATACTCCATTTTTTGTTTCCCAATGCATATAAAAGTTATATTTACACTATAGTGTGATCTATTAAGTGTGCAACAGCATTATCCTTAAAATTACAATGTACATACCTTAATTTTACAATACCCTATTGCTAAGAAAATCATTAACTAGCATCTGAGCCTTCAAGTGAATTGTAATCTTTTTGTTGGTGGAGGGTCTTGTAAAAAAAAATGCAATAAAGTGAAGCATAATAAATTGAGTTCTGCCTGTATTCAAACTGTTTTTCTTTTGCACCTTTTTTGTCTTGTTCCTCTCCAGGGTGGCTACCTCATTTGCAACCAACACATGGTGATCACAGCCCCAGCTTCCAAAACATAAATTTGAATCCATTCTCCATCACACTATTTGCACAATTATGGGATGCCCAAGTCTTGATTTCCTCATCTATCAATGAAGCTAGTGACCAATTTTGTTGGGGAAATATAACTAAAACTGTTAGGGGGAAAAGATGTCCTGAGCTAATCCCATACAGGCTTTGTGGACTCCACTCCCACTCCAGACTAAAGCCATCAAGACATTGGGAAAGACAAATCCCATCACCACCAAAGGGAAGGTGGCTGGGACCTGAGGGTGGAGTTAAGCAGCCAGGTTGGGTATAAAAACCAAACACGTGGGCCTTGGGCTGGCTCACTGTCGCTCGCCTCCTGTCTACACAGCTCCTGGCTGGCTGCCAGCTCTCAGAGTGCCATTTGGGATTCCAGATCAGCGGATTGGGTAGGACTCATTTAAAACTTTGTCTCCCACTTTTCTCCCTGAGCTGTACATTTCCTCATTTCCCCTTCCCTTGTAAATAAACCTTTTATTAACCTTTCACGTGTGCCTGCAGTAGAGCATTGATAAGTCCTTTTAAGCGCGCAGGTGAGGACCCACAGTCAGGCACCCCGTTTTGTATTGGGGCTGCCCTATAACAAAACCACAATCTCCCAGTTAAGAAATCTCCACAAAGATAGTGAGAAAGAAAACACTTTTGTTACTGAAGAGGTATTAAACCAGAATGTAATGAACATCACAGAGGATCTGCTAAGAGATCTCTTAGCAGAAACAGAAAGGAATCTCACCCTCTTATGAAACCAAGCCAAACAACCCATTACAAGTTCTCAGGATAAACAGTGACTTGCCCTCAGGCAAGACTGACAGACTGCGCCACTGTCACACACGGTCCATCCTGACTTTACCTGTGTAAACACAATCTGTGTTAGCTAACTGGCTCTATGCAGAGGAAGAACAAACTGGAGGTAGTTTTGCAACTTGGAAGGAGGCATCTCCCTCAGAAACTGGGTACTTGCTCATCGATGTTTCTATTTTGAAAACATTTATTTATTTATGCATACGAGAACTGGGGTACAGGCCAGAGGTGCGGGGGGTGAGAGGGTTCACCAGAGACAGAGTGGGGAACAGAATAGGCAGATTGACTGAAATACACTGCTGAGGGGAGCAGTAGATGAGTCAGGAGAGGTCTGCTGAGTCATGTGGGTAGCTCCCTGGCGGGGGACAGAAATCGTGCCGCAGTGGATGTGGACAGCTTCTTCATAGGTTGCATCCTAACCCCTTACCCCACCAGGGAGGCCCAATGTTTCTATTTTGAAGAGATGGTGCCAAGGTCTTTGAAAAAGAAAAAAATATTCCTAGGCCATAAAGTTGACAAAAGACTTATCTATTCTTAAAAAGGATTTATATACATTTCCAAGAGAGAAGAAAGTATACACACATTTTCTAAAGTAAATACCTAAAGAAAACAAAGGGGAAGGAAATCTTTTAAATGGGGAATATGAGACCTTTTTCAATTTGTATTTGTTTTTGCAATCTACCTCCTGCTTGATGCTCTAAATTCCAAAAATCCATGGGGGAAGAGGGGTACAGAGATGAAGGTAGTCTCTAGGTTAAAAAAAAAAAAAAAACTATTCCACAAAGTCATTTAAAATATTTTTTCTTTTTTTGACAAAATAAGTTTGAGTCCTATATATAGTATACTACATATATATATATAGTATACCACATATATATAGTACTCAAAATTATATATATATAATTATATAATATATATAAATTATATATATAATATATAATATATTATATAATATATAATAATATAATATATATAATATAATATATATAATATATAAATAAATTACATATATATATATATATATATATATATATATATATATATATGGTAGTGTGAGGCTCATCTGGAAATAACAGTTCCTCTCTGACTTCTTAGGGGTCCGGAATCATTGTCTTTCTCTGGACCTTTCTGGATCTGTTTTGAACCAATTAACTGTCACACCAGGCACATTTGTTACACTTTTGAAAATGCTTGGTAGTGTAGTAGGTAAATTGTTGCAGTAAGCTGAGCAGTGAAAGATTAGGAGGTGTTAAAGGAAAAAACTGTTTAATGGCACAGTAAGATTTTATTCAAGGGAGGGGGGCTGTTTTAACAACATAGGGATTTCAGTTATGAAAACTTGCAAGGGGAAAGAGAAACTGAGCTCATCTGTGAACATGATATGGGTTGGTGATAATTTTAGCCATAGGGCAGGGTGGATGTATGTGGACAGAACACTACTGACAGCAAACATCAGGGCTAAGGGGGGATTCTGTCTAAATTGACCAGGCCAGGGAGATCATATATCACAGGGTGACGGTGGAAAATGAGGAGTCCAATTAGATTTGGAGGGTGTGTTTGTTAGGGAGTGTGTTCTGGTTAAATTGACTTTAGCAGGATTCTTGCTAAAATTGGATAACGCAAAGATAAACAAGGAAGTCCAAAGCCACGGGTTTAGCAGAGCTGGAGTTGAGTTTGGCCACGGACAGAATCTTTGCCAGTCCTTTCCCTTACATTATTCAGCCCTTGGTTTTTATTATTCTTAACAATGGTAATATTCATCGAGCTCTTATTAGATGCCAGGTGCAATGTTAACTGTTTTTTGATCTGCCTATTATCTTCCCGACAGCCCTGCCAGACAGAAATTATTTTCAAATACCAAACCCAAAGGGAAGAAACTTGAACTCAAAAAAATGGAGTGACTGGTCTAGGCTTCCTTATGCACAGAGTACTAGCGTGGGAGTTCGAACCCGCATTTGTCCTATTTAAACTTGGTCACTGTGCTAAACAATGTAAAAGTAAAATAAAAAAAATAATAAAATATTATTTTATTAATAACTTATTTTATTAATAAGTTATTATTAAAAAAATAACTAAAAAAGTAAAAGTTAAATACAAGGAACAAATCTCACCCCTAATCCCAGGCGGACCCAAGTTATCCGGGCTCCCTCCGCTGTCTCCCCATAAACCTCGCCACTCTGGCGTGGGGCAGGTGCCCGGCGGGCCTGCTGTCGGCAAGCGGAGCTGAGCCCTGCACCACGCGGTCTCCGCGAGTCTGGGGAGCCCGACCGTCCCCCTGCCTCACTGCAGCCAATGGCGCCGGCGCATTTCGGGGGGCGGGCTGCCGGCCTGAGCGCTCTGGTTGGGCGCCCCCGGGGGCGGGGCGGGCCTGGGCGCGGGCGCGCGGAGCTCGCCGAGTGGAGAGCGCACCGCCGCGCCAAGTTCAGGGCTCGGGGCTCCAGCTGCGGGTCACGCGGGCGGGCGCGCTGCAGGGCCGGGATCGGCGGCTCGTGGACTCTGGTCTCGCCCGCTCGGCTGGTGCACGGGACTCCGTTCTGGTAAGTGGGCGATTTCGGGGCCCAGGGCCTGCAGGTGCCGGTCGCTCGCGGGGCCGGCCGCGCTGTCCTCGCGCCTCTGGGAAGCCGAACTGGATGAAGGGACCCTTTATTAGCGCTTGGGGTGAGTGATCTGCAGGCGGCGAACCCAGAGCGCTCGGCGCCTGGTGCAGATCGGAGCGCCTGGTGCAGATGCGGGTGGTGGCCTCGGCCTTTGACACAGAGGCGAGGTTTATGGCTGCTCGACTAGCAGCCCTGTGCTCAACACTTTCCGCGTTGAGCATTTGAAATTTAAATGCAGCTCACCTCCTCCTCCCACGCCCTAAAGTCATGACAAAGCGACAGGTCGAGTGCAATCATCACTCCCACTTCACAAGTGAGGGAGTTGAGGCTCTGAGAGCAGAGCCTACCAGGTGCGACTGCAGCTGGCAAGTGGCACAGCCCCACACCAGCGCTCTGAACCTGTGCGGTTGTGGTGTCTCCACTTTCGGCGCGTGCGATCCGGGGAGGGGCCGTGCTTGTCTGCACACTGTTACCCTCTGTTCTAGGAAACAACTGTGGGGTTCTTGGCTCTGTGCCCTGTGTTTCTCGAGGTTCTGGAAGTTAAATGACCCCAACTCTTCGGTTAGGCAGTTGCTGGACTGGAAACACCGGTTCGGCTCTTATGGAATCATATTTTTAATTTCCTACTTGAGGGAACGTGCAGGGTAGTTGGTATCGCGCTTTTATTTTGTGTGGTGTTTTTAGTATAGTATCATAGGAAAGGGCTTTGGAGCTAACGGTAAACAAGAACTGAGATTCTGGTGATCTTGGCAAGTGGATTCACTTTTTCCGTCTATTTCCCAGGGGCTGTAGTGAGGGTCATGCCACAAGTGGGTGACATTTACCCCACAGAAAGATCCAGCATTGTAATGACTGTAACCAGTAGCTTGAGCTGTGAACCCCCTGGGGACTCAGTGGGGTAGCACTGAATGGTGATTAAGGTGCCCCTAAAGCCCCCAGATCCTCTAACAATAATAGTTGATAATTTTCAAGTACTTTGTGGCTAGCATAATTTGGGCACTCTGTCTGATACCCCTCATAACCAGCTTCAGAACTGTCACCACCTCTGGGTTATGTGAGGGGCCTCAGACATCGGAGTCAGTGACTGGGCTTGCACTTTAGGGTGTGAAAAGTAGACTTTGAACCCCGAGGTCTGGCTCTGTGGTGAATTTCTACACCATTGCATCTGCTGTGGCCTTCACCTTGAAAGTGGGAGAATCAGGCGTCCAATGTCCACCCGCTCTTTTACATGAGGAGCTTTAACATCCTCCAGTTGGGTTTCTCTAATTGTTACTTTCTGTTCAGAGATGGGTTTAAAAATAGTTTAAGACAAATGCTTCCAGGAAATAGTTTCAAACTTGTAAAATGCTTACTGTCGAGGTGAAAATCTCATCTCCCATCCGTGTCCTTTTTTTATTTTTAAAAAGTTATTTATTTATTCATGCATACAAGAACTGGGGTACAGGCCGGAGGTGTGGGGGGTGAGATGATTCACCAGAGACCGAGTGGGGAGCACAACAGGGATATGGGCTGAAATACACTGCTGAGGGGTGCAGCGGGCGAGACAGGAGAGGTCTGCTGCGCCATGTGGGTCACTTCCCTGGCCAGGGATCGAACTCGTGCTGCAGTGGGTGCGGATAGCTTCATAGTGCTGTGTCTAAACCCCTTGTGCCACCAGGGAGGCCCTCCCATCCGTGTTCTTACCCTTGGGACTTCGAGTCTCATTTGATGTGCCTCTGCTTTCTTCAGCCACAGACGCCCAATTTCTGACCCTTGAGATCAAAGTTTTTTCCCATGTTAGGAACATTTGCACTTGCTTGCTATCTGCCTGGAACACTTTAGATGTCATAGACTTGGTGCCTTTCCACTGTTCAGATCCCAGCTCAGACACCTCGCATTTAGTATGCTCATAGCAATTGTCACCTCCTAAAATTACCTGACCTGGGTCATAGGAGTTACACAATAAGTATTTGTTGAAGGAATGAATGAATTCATTGTAGGGTGCTAGCAGTGGAATAAAACTCTTCAATATCAAAATCTTATTTTGAATTAAACAATATTACTATGATCCAGCAATTCCACTCTTGGGTGTATTACCAAAATAATTGAAAGCAGTGACTTGATGTTTGCACACACATGTTCATATCTGCATTATTCATAGTAGCCAAAAGGTTGAAGTAACGTGTGTCCATGGACAAGTGAATGAATAAACAAAATATGGTATTACATACAGTGGAATATTATCCAGTGTTGAAAAGGAAATTGATATCCACATTAACATGGTGAATTTTGAAGAATTATTATGCTAAGTGAAATAAGCCAGACACAAAGGGACAAATATTATATGATTTACACGTGGTACCTGAAATAGTCGAATTCATAGAAATGGGAAGTATATTTGTTACCGGGATGGGGGAGAAAGGATTGGAGAATTGTTTAATGGATAAGCAGAATTACAGTTTGAGAAAATGAAAAACTTTGGAGATGGCTGGTCGTAATGGTTGCACACAAATGTCGATGTATTTAATGCCCCTGAATTGCGCACTCAGAAATGGACAGTTTTATGTTGGGCGTATTTTATCACAGTTCTGAAAAAAGTGAGAGAGAAGTTCAAGATGTGTTATTTTCCAGACAACATCCAGACCTGAACAAAAGATATGAAGTATGTCTCTCTTAGATAGAATATTAAACATGAATCTCTACCCTCAGTATCTTGAAAAGTACATAGTTTCAGGACCTTTGTCTTGACTGTTTCTTGTTCTATCAGAACTTCCCTAAGCCCAGGCAAGATGTGTAAATTAACCATTACAGTCAGGATTTTTGCCTTTTCTTTCTTTAATTCAGAACACCCTAGGATATGTTATGATAGCTATTGTTGACCCAGTAGACATAATAAATTACATCTGTAATTAATATAATCTATTTCATTGAAACAAGACAAAGAATCTTGAACTTTGCTTGAATAAAGAATTCATGGTTAAAAGGGAAAAAACATGACTTGGACTCAAGTTGGGATTTAATAAGGGTATGGATTAAGTACTACATTTGGCGGTGACTTGATCCTAAATGGTAATAGGATACAGGGTAGGAAACTCCACCAAGTGGGTAGGCAGTGAGAGCAGGAAGGCACTGCTGGCCTGGGAAGAGGGGCGACAGCAACTGACATGGGGGTGAAGAAGCAACTGACTCGGAATCAGCATCTTGGATAAGAAAATGGTTGGCAAGGGGTGGCAGGGGATGTGAGATGAGTGAGTCGCTGGCGAAGGGAGAGGTTTAATTCTTTTTCCTGAGCAGAGTAAACAGAATGCCTTTCACAGAATACTGTAGATTCCACTGTCCTTCAAGAGTGGGGTTCCAACTGGACTTTAATTATTTGGTGGTTAGGAAAGGAATATTTGTGTGTTGCTTGCCACCTTTGAATTGTCTTTAACCTCAACTAGTCAATATTTAAAAGAAGCTGTTTTTTTCCTTCATGATTCTAGGACCCAAGGGCCTATATTTTGATTTCATGCTTTTTTGTGGTTTACCACCTGCCAGGGACATATGGTTGGCCAATACAGAGGTCCTTGACTTGCACTGGCCATTCTTGAACATGGAGATCTATGTGGAGAAGCTATTGGGCACAATGCCCAGTCCGTGGACACAACTGGCCACGTTCAAGGTCACTGCCCTCGGCAGAGTGGTACTGCTTTTGCTGCACAAGTGTTCCTGGCATATAACTTAAAGTGCTTCCAATGTTACTTTGCATTTTGCAGGCATGGCTGCAAACTAATGATGTAGTTCTAATCATGTGCTTGTGTTAATATAATGGTTGCTTTGAAAACTCCAATTAGGAATTTTCTCATTAAAGGTTATTGATAGTTTCTTTTTATTAGCGCTACCAGAGATTAAGGAAGACTGTGATTTGGGGCTATTAGGCTATTTTATTTAAAAGTATATTTGGCTAGCAAATTATACTGTGTGCACTTGTACAGGGAAAAACTACACTCTTCCTGCTGTGTCTCTCCTTTACTCTCACAGCACTACCACACTTACACTGTTCTCACACCAGATGTGGGGGTTTTCCACATATCAAGCAGTTCTTTGACCCTGCTGGATGTCCTATTATTCAGCTCAGTTCTGACACTAACCAGAATTAGCATAGACCTCACAGGTTAAGGGTCAATCCTGCAAGATTACCTTCCACTTTGTTTTTCTTTTTAATCCCATGGTTTTTATTTTTATTTTTTTAAAGATTTATTTATTTATTTATACAAGCACTGGGTATGGTCAGAAGCGTGGGAGGGCAAGAGAATTCACGAGAGCCAGAGTGGGGAACAGAACAGGCAGACCGAGGAAATACACTGCTGAGGGGAGCAGCGGGTGGCAGGAAAGGTCTGCGCGCCATGTGGGACCCTTGCCAGCGGCCAGGGATTGAACCGGCGCTGCAGAGGCTGCGGGCAGCTTCACAACCCAGCGCTCAACCGCTACGCCGCTGGGGAGGCCCCAATCCCATGGTTTTTTTAAAAAAATATTTGTTTTTTATTTATGCATACAAGAATGGGAGTGTAGGCCAGAGGTACAGGGGGTGAGAGAATTCACCAGAGACAGAGTGGGGAACAGAACAGGCAGATATACTGAAAAACATGACTGAGGGGAGCAGTGGGTGAGACAGGAGAGGTCTGCAGCACCATGTGTGTCACCTCCCTGGCTGGGGATCGAACTCTTGCTGCAGTGGCTGGCGATAGCTTAATAATGCTGAGACTTAATCCCTCTTGCCACTAGGGAGGCTCTGGATGCCAGTCACAGGTATTAGGACCCCCAGGCTCTCCACATCTTCTGCCCAACTTGGCTACAAATCAGAGGTTCCTATATTCTCCTCTCCCTTGAACTGATTATTTGCTAGAGAAGCTCACAGACTTCAGGGAAACACTTAGTAATATTGACCAGTTAATTAGAGGATGTGATAAAGGATGCAGCTGTATAGCTAAATGAAGTACATGGCTGGAGATCCAGGGTGGGGGGTGGGGGGTGTGCGGGGTGGGTCGCATGGGAACTTCTGTCTCTGTGGAGTTGAGTTGTGTTGTCCTCCCAGTAAGTGGATTCATTCACCCATCTGGGGAGTCTCTGAACCCCTTACTAGTTTAGCTGAGTATTGCTCACGTAGGCATGATGAATCATTAACTCCATTTCCACCCCTCTCCAGAGAGTGGGACATGTGATTGAAAATTCCAAGCTTCTAATCATGGCCTGGTCTTTCTGGTGACCAAATCCATTCCACAGTCACCCAGGACCCACCAAGAGTCACCTCATTAGAACAAAAGACTCTGCTGTCCCCCAGGAAGTTCCAAGGGATTCAGGAGCCCTATATGAGGAGTCGGGGGTAGAGAACCAATACTAGAACAAGAGCTGTTCCTAGTTCCTTTATCATTTGAGAAATTACAAGGGTTTCAAGAACAGAAACCAATATATATTTCTTATTATTTCTCTGTATTCTTGAGAACTGTTTGTCTCCCTGTGATTGATTCTTTAGTGAGCCCTGCCCGGTCCCCCAACACCTTCTTCCTGTCCTCAATGGCACTTTGCTGTTTAGACTACTGCACTCAGTACATTTGTTTGTTTGCTGCTTAACTTCTTCCCCAGAAGGGCAGGACTTACTTTGTTTCACTCTCCACTGTATTCCCAGCACCATCTCCATGTCTGGCACAGGGGAGGACCTCAATAAATAGTTGTGGAATTAATGGATTTTAAATGAAAACTTAATTGAATTAATGGAAAATTACTGAAAAGCTGCAAGTGGTTGATTAAGGGAGATTCATTCCTGTAAATAAATATTTAAACTTTCACACTAGGGAAGGTGGCGCTGATCACAAATTCTTGTTCTTTGTGGAAGCCTATTTTAAGAAACATCATATTTCCATTGTATTTTAATGGTTGCAGTTTCTGATGAAAAAAAAGACATGCAAATTTGACCTATAATTATTTGTAATTTCAATCAAGCCTGTTCTTTCTCTCACTCTTTGTGCAGGAACTCTGTGGGCTGCTCAGGGCATGTCTGTTGGAGTTTTGAGTGTGACCTTCATGGCCAACTTACTATGCAGCCCTGGGGGTAACATAATACTTGACTTTTTAAAAGTTTCTTTAGAAATATTTATTGATCAAGATCACATTGGTTTCCAACACTGTGTAATGCTTTACTAAGGCCCATTTTCTTTACTTGAAAAGTAGAAAAACTAAGGCTGGTCCGCAATTCATTTGTTCAGTCATTTGGCAACTCTTCATGGATTGCCGTGCTGGGCGCTCCATGTCACCTCTATGTGTGGGAAATTTGAAAAAGGAAAATGATGCTTGGTCCTTAGCTCCAGGGAAGTTAGTTTAGTTAGGGAAATGAACTATCAACAGGAAAAGCTTTGTTGAGAAAGGGTGGTGCAGGAGTCCCCACACCGTGGGTCTCACGGAGGGTGACTCTCCTTCCTAGCACACTCAGCCTGAAGTTTCACACTGTGGTTTTGCAATAGAGTATCGTCCTGCTTATCAGGTAGTGCTGGGGAGATGAGCGGGAGATGAGCTTTGACTAAATTTAATGGTGGGCATTTTCCCATTTTCAGACGACTTCGAACCCGCACAATGGCAGTTCCAGTCAACGGGGCTCACAAGGATGCTGACCTGTGGTCCTCCCACAATAAGATGTTGGCGCAGCCCCTGCAAGACAATGACATTGAGGTGAGATGTGTGGGGACTTCACAGAGGTGCCTAAATCAAAGGTGCTGTTGCAATCTCTGGTTCTAATCCTGAATCAACTTCACTCAGGACAGCCTTGCCAATAGAAGAAATGTGACCAATTCAGTGCAGTGGCTGGCAAAGTGGCTAAAAGTCCTTTGAGGGTAAATTTGCATATTCCTTTTTTTTTTTAATAAAGATTTATTTATTTTTTTATTTATTTATACAAGCACTGGGTACAGTCAGAAGCGCGGGAGGGTGAGAGAATTCACCAGAGCCAGAGCGGGGAGCAGAGCAGGCAGAAGGACCGAAGTACACTGCTGAGGGGAGCAGCGGGCGGCAGGAGAGGCCTGCGCGCCATGTGGGACCCTCCTCCGGTGGCTGGGGAGCAGCCGGGGATTGAACCATTGCTGCAGAGGCTGTGGGCAGCTTCGCAACCCAGCGCTCAACCGCTGTGCCACCGGGGAGGCCCAATTTGCATATTCCTGATTCTCTACAAAGTGCAGAGCCCTGGGCTGGTGACCTGGAGGGTCGTTGAGATTGGAGCATCTTTATTTTTTAATTTATTTTTTTAAGATTTATTTTTATTTATTTATGCGTACAAGAACTGGGATGTAGGCCAGACATTTAGGGTGTGCAAGGATTCACCAGAGAGAGTGGGGAGCAAAACAGGCAGATCTACTGAAATACACTGCTGAGGGGAGCAGCGGGGGAGGTAGGAGAGGTCTGCTACACCATGTGGGTTGCTCCCTGGCCAGCCAGGAATAAAACTTGTGCTAGAGTGGCTGGCAATAGCTTGATAGCTCTGTCTTTAACACCTGCACCACCAGGGAGGCCCATAGCTGTCTTCTTGGTTTGGTTATTTGGGTTATGAGGTTCTTCTGAGGGCAAAATATGAATCTGTGATAGTGACTCTTCTCTTTACTAGGCTATCACTTTGGTCAGAGATAAATGTTAACCTAAAATGTCTAATGTTTGTTTTCTTCTCATCAGGTTTATAACCTCATTAAGAAGGAGAGTAACCGGCAGAAGGTTGGATTGGAGCTCATTGCCTCAGAGAATTTCGCCAGCCGAGCAGTTTTGGAAGCCCTTGGCTCGTGCTTAAATAACAAATATTCTGAGGGGTACCCAGGCCAGAGGTATGCAAGGGTTGGCAACAGCCTGCTTCTGACATAGTGATGTGAGGTACTGAATCAATATGAGATCTAAACATTTGAGATTTCTGTTCTGTTCCTGCTCTTTGACAGAACTCTTTTACGATGCCCAGCATGTGATACCACTAATATACTAGAGCAAATATTCTCAGTCCCACTGGGTCTTTCTAGAATAGCAGCTCAGTCCATCAGGAGTTTGAAGCTGCTGGACTGTTGACCCAGACCCTCTAGAAAATGGCTAGTCCTCTGAGTGATCCATTTATGAAAGGTTGTCATTGTCATGGGAAAAATCAAATCTATATCAGAAGAGCAAACTGAATCCAGGGTACTGGGGACCAGGGTTGGTTACAAGGCAGTGATTTCAACCTGAGAACCTCGAGAAGTTATATTTCATTTTTGTCCATAAAGCCAGGTAAAGATGATCACGGAACTTGCCTTTAAGCTTTTTCACACATGCATACATTTGTGTCCAAAGAACACAGAAAAAAGAAGGGTCACTTTTGGAGTTGAACTGTATTCTGTCCTGCGAGGCCCCTGAGGTTCTCTGGGGAAGGACTGAGAACAAGTGGAAGAGGTGGTCTTTTTCCTGCCCTGAATAACTCATGGTGGCATCATGCCTTGTAATGTTTCCACAGCTAGTATTTCATTTGATCTTGGCAGCAACCAAATGGAAGAGGGGGTGCTGGTTTCCACATTTTTTTCAAAGATTTATTTATTTATGCATATAAGAGCTGGGGTACAGGCCAGAGATGCGGGAGGGGTGAGAGGATTCACCAGAGACAGAGCAGGGAACAGAACAAGCAGACTGACTGAAACACACTGCTGAGGGAAGCAGCGGGTGAGACAGGAGAGGTCTGTTGCGCCATGTGGGTTGTTCCCTGGCCAGCCGGGGATCGAACTCATGCCACAGAGGCTGCGGATTGCTTCATAGTGCAGTGCTTAGCCCCTTGTGCCACCAGGGAGGCCCTGGTTTCCACATTTTAAAAAAGGGGGGCTCTGGTTCATTGACTCTTTAGTTTGCACACAAATAGCCCAGCTGGGAGTCATCCAGAGGCTCCCACACCCTGTTATAGCTGAAAGTCAATATCTGGTCCTTGTTGCTGGTTCCCAGCATTGTGCTCCTAAGGCCACTGGGATTTCACGGTGATAGGAGTGTCTCCTGTTATTTGTAGTGGGCCCTTTCGCCCACATCTGATTTTATGCTAATAAGGTAATTCAGAATGGGACCCCTAGATGGCTTCAGGATGGAGGCTGGTCACCAGAAAAAGACCAAATATGATTAGAGAGTCAGAATTTTTAGCCCCCAGGCCCTCACATCCAGAAGGGGAAAGAAACTGGCCAGGGGCTTGGACCACTCAAAGTGCTGGAGGGTGGCATACCTCCCCACATCGCTCTGTATGACTCTTCAATTTGGCAGCTCCTGAGTTGAATCTTTTATAATAGATGAATAATCATAAGTAAAGCACTTTCTGAGTTCTATGAGTTATTCTAGTGAATTACCAAACTTGGGAGGTGACTGTGGGGACCCCCATGTTTGTAGCCAAGTTAATCAGAAGTGCAGGTAGACTGGAGGCTGGGGACTTAGACTTGAGACTGGCATTTGAACCCTTCACCTGAGTGGGGTTTGTGTTCGCTCTGGGTACTTAGTGTAGAATTGAATGGAGTCATTGGAGACCCAGTTGTCAGAGAATTGGTTGTCCCCAGCTGTCTCAGAGGTTCTAAAATTTCTACTAACCTTGCAGAAAATCCTTTGATGATTCCTGGACTTTTTGTCCTTATCTAGTGAATTTTCTATGTCTGAAGAGAGATGAGGCAGATGATTTCTGGCCCTGTGAGGTGACAGAGTTTCATTGTATGTACTGTTGTGGTTTGAGGGTGCCCAGCAATCATTGGTGGTGTTTCTCCTCCTCTAAGAGTTTTGTTGAATGATTTGATGGCAAATTGTAATTGAATTGAAAATGCATTTTTCTTTCTGAGTGACTAATAGGGTAGCAGTCATCTTATAATTAAGGGTGTGTAAAGTGGAAGAAATGTAGCACTGTAGTCTAGTCACTGGACTAAGCATGATGATCCGTTCTTATTTATTCTACAGCCTTATTGCAAAGTCAGCACTGTCACCTGCCTTTTGAAGATAAGGAATTAGGCTTGGGTAGGTGAAGGAGGCTGCTACAAGTCCCATTGCTGGTAAAGAGCAGAACCAGGACCTGACTTGGCCATTTGCACTGCACACTGTCCACAGCTCCCTGCAAGCCCCAGCTTGCCTGTGTGAAGCAGGGCAGGTGGGGGCACTGGAGCCTCAGTGGGATCATGAATCCCCATCCTGTCTTTGCTCCCCAGGAAAATGGTTAATTGCTCTGGTAGTCCTGACATCCTGAGAGTCTATAATTCTGTTCGAGGCCTGCCTGCTTTAGGCTTGGGCAGACCACGTCCTTCTTTGGTCACAGAACAAAGGATGTGAGCCTGGAAGGTGTTTCTTAGCAATCAGCAGGTGTTCATTTCTTTTCTTTTTTTTTTTTTAAGATTGATTTATTTGTAGAAGAACTGGGGTGTATGCCAGAGGTGAGGTGTGTTTGAGAGGATTCACCAGAGACAGAGTGGGGAGCAGAACAGGCAGAATTACTGAAATACACAGCTAAGAGGAGCAGTGGGCAAGACAGGGGAAGTCTGCTGTGCCATGTGTCGGTTAGCTCCCTGACCAGGGATTGAACTCAGGCCTCGGTGGTGATAGCACTGAGACTTAACTCCTAGGCCACCAGGTAGGCCCCAGAAGGTGTTTGTTTCTGATTCCACTGTCAACTTCCAAGAGGCACAGAGAATTTTATTGGGGATGTAACACAATCAGTTTCCCAAGAATGGAGCCAGTTAACGGGAATAAAAGGTGGTTAGCGTTTAATTCCACTTATTCCTAATTTTTAGTTTAGGGGAGTTTTTTTGTTGTAAGATGGAGGGGATCTGGCTACAGTTGTGCAGCCACGCCCATAGTTCATCTCCAGAATGTTTTCATATTGCAGAAACAAAGCTCTTATTCATTAAGCAACAACTCACAGCACAAGCATATGAGAAGATGCGCAAATCATTAATCATTAGGAAAATGCAAATCAATACCACTTTGAGATATCCCCTCACATTCGTTAGGGTAGCGCCTCTAGAAAACAGACTATAACAAGCAGAGGTGAGGATGTGGAGAAACTGGAACCTTTGTGCACAGAGGTTGGAGCCAGCTGTGGATCACAGCTACCTCTTGTCCTCCCACAGGTATTATGGCGGGACCGAGTTCGTTGATGAACTGGAGGTGCTCTGTCAGAAGCGAGCACTGCAGGTCTATGGTCTGGACCCCCAGAGCTGGGGGGTCAACGTCCAGCCCTATTCAGGTAATTGTCACATCCCTACAGGCCTGTGCAGCCCCCTTTCTGCCAGTCTCCCATGGCTGGTTGATATTCCCTGGGAGGACTGTAAGGACTGCCCATAAATGAAAGTAAAGAAGTCAACTTGGCCCTCCTGATCTGTGCCGCTTTCTTCACCGCCCCTGATTTACAGCTGTTCTCACTTCTTCCAGGTAGTGCCATGTCTCTGAGTGTCCCCCTTACTCTCAAAGGGGGCGGGGAACTTCTGGGGGCTTGGAGAATGCATAACAGTGTCCAGCTTCGTTCTGGCTACTCCTGAAGGGTGGCCTCATGACCACACTCTGGGCAGAAGTAATGAAACCTCTGGTCTGCCCGTTCCAGGCTCCCCTGCAAACTTCGCAGTATACACAGCCCTGGTGGAACCCCATGGGCGCATCATGGGCCTGGACCTGCCTGATGGGGGTCACCTGACTCATGGGTTCATGACAGACAAGAAGAAAATCTCTGCTACGTCCATCTTCTTTGAATCTATGCCCTATAAGGTAAGAGAGTGCATCTCTGTATTTCCGTAGTCGGAACCTCAGAAAGCCTGCAGCATTTGGCTGTGCCTATAGGACTGAGTAGTTTTATTCATGTGGCACTACAGGAATTCCCCATCTTCCACCATTTGTCACTTCCCTCCCTGTAGACTCCTTCAGTATCTGGGGCATGCAGGAGGCAGCCAGGATGGAGAACTGAGGGACTAAGCTAAGTCGGGGAGGCAAAGACTGAGGTTTCCCCCATAGCAGGGCTGATATCTGCTTCAGAGCTATAGGGCAATGCTGGCTAGGGTAACTACTCCCAGAAACCAGTTTAGCTACAGCCAGACCTGGTGACAGTCCTGCTAGGGACCCCCAAGGCTAGCCACTGCTATAAGGACAGCCAGCAGCTCCTCTGTCAGCACCTAGCCCTCCATAGCCGAGTCAGCTGGCTTCTGCGGCCACAAGAGGTTGGAGCCAGGGCCTCATCCTCCCCATTCCAGACCTGCCCAGGCAGCCATAGCCAGTACAAGCCGCATGCCCAGCATGGGGGCCAGCACCATCAGAATCAGTGAGGCTGTGCAGGCCCCGGGCAAGTGATTTTTTTTTTTTTTTTTTTTTTTTTTTATAGAGGCATGCTTTATTTATTTGTTTGCTGGTTTGTTTGTTTGTTTTGTTTATACATGCACTGGGTACAGTCAGAAGCGCGGGAGGGTGAGAGAATTCACCAGAGCCAGAGTGGGGAGCAGAGCAGGCAGAAGGACCGAAGTACACTGCTGAGGGGAGCAGCGGGCGGCAGGAGAGGTCTGCACGCCATGTGGGACCCTCCTCTGGTGGCCGGGGAGCAGCCGGGGATCGAACCGGCGCCGCAGAGGCCGCGGGCAGCTTCGCAACCCAGCGCTCAACCGCTGCGCCACCGGGGAGGCCCCCCGGGCAAGTGATTTTTAATGGGGGCCCTTGTTGGTATAAATGAACTGGTCAAAAAGTCTGAGATTTGTGGGGTTATGGGGCAGGGGCACATAGTGACTTATCAAGGTCATTAGAGTGATGGGTAGGTATGGTACAGTCCATGCTTCTGATGATTTTCTCTTGGGTCCAAGACCATCTCCTTGTGGGTTTATCGGCACATGGGCCACTCCTTGATAGTTTCATATGTCCTCCCTGAACAGAGAGAGCAGCACATCATTATGTTCTGCTGAATGTCAGACACATCATTTTATTCTCTTAAGGCAGTCAGTATTCTATGCTGGCATTCCGTGGTCTTAGTTGCATACCCCTGGTTGCTGTTTATTTGACCTTGCCTCAGTCCTAGTGTTTGCACGTGTGCATTTGTTTGCTAGCGATGGTTCATTTCTGTTCATGGGAAGCCTGGGTGTTTCCAGTCACTGGTATCATCGTTGGCCAGCACTGACCTTGAAGATGAATTTTGAATGTGCTATTAGCGACACAATGCTCAGTTTGTGCACTTAGGGTGGAAAAGCTGATTTCTATAGTTGCTTTCACTATGGAAAGAATGAGGACTCTTGTTTTTCAACTTGGGCAGCCTCATGCTCTTTTTGCCCAATGTCTGCTATTCCTGAAGAGTCTCTTCTGGATTAACAAGCCTGGTGCTGCACCCCTGTCCTCTCTTATCCCCTAGCTACCCTCATCTTTGACCCTAACTAAGCAGGCCGCAGTGGGGAAGCCCACATAATGGTGGGCTGCAGGGGTGTAGAGGGCCAAGTCTGGCCACCTTGGCCATAGCTCACCTGTTAGAGGGATGCCTGTGGGTACTGGCCTTATGGGCAGAGACAAACCTGATTGGTCTCCATCAGCAACCACCAAGGCTGCTCTGCCCACCAGGCCGCTCCTTGCCCAGCTTTTCCCTGAGCATCTGCTCTTGTCTTCAGCCCCTGTCCTCTCCAGGGATTCTCTTCCATCCTCTGGGCAACTAAAGATCCACACAAGACCAGGCATGTCACCCTCTGGAGAAAGAGCAACCTGCCATCTCCTCTTCCTCTGTAACTCAGGAATCCCTTCTCTCTGGTCCTAAGTGAGGGAGGGGACTCCCTTCCAGCCACTGCCTCCGCACCTCTGCTGTGTATTACAAATGCTCACGAAACAAATGCCTGTGAATTCTTCTAGAAGCTGTTTTATTGTCATATTTTCAAAATTCCTTAAAAAAAGAAAAACCAAAAAATGCACAAGTTTAAAAGCAAAATGTGGAAAAAATAACAACAGATTTGGGGGTTACTATGTCCTTTTTATATATTTTTAGAGTAAAGACCATTTTTTCCTGTGGGTTAGCTGCTAATTTTTCATTGAGATAGCAGTTTCCTTGCCAAGTTCAGGTGACTGAAAAATAACCGGTTCACGCCCTGAAAAAAAACACAGAAAACTAAACCACAAACCGTCCTTCAACCTGCCTTTCCGGTGACGTCTTGGTTCCCATAAGCTTGCACACAAACTTGTGTGATTGTGTTCAATTGTGTGGTTTTTTTTTTCATTTGGAAAGGGAGACCACCAAACCCCAAGCCTTCCCTCCAGGGGTCCTGGTACTTCCTGGTGGGCAAAGTGGGGGGGAGAGGATGAAGTTTCCAGGTGGGAGTGTTTCGGACATGACCATCCCCCACCTCCTCAGAGGGCTCTCATATCGTAGACCCCTGGAGTTTTTCCTACAGGAATTCCTTTGGAAACCATTTTTGCTCCCCCTTGGCATGTATGTCATAGTGTAACTTTAACAAACTGAACTTTCTTAGACATACATGCTGTAAAGGTCAGGGCAGAACACAGTGCAGGTTTTCTGATCCCATGCAGACCGGGTAAAAGAGGAGTCAGAGTCCTCAGTGGTTTTGCAGGTTTTTTATTGGGGTTCAGCGGCTACGTGGCAGGTAGGGGTGCTGGCTGGGGGGCTGGGAGGCTGGCAGGCCTCCCAGCCCCCAGCAAGTCTTCACTCTCTCTGGGCTCTCTGGCGTTCGTTCTGCTGCTTCTTGGCTTTTCTTTCGGCTTCGGCTTCTACTGCTGCTGCTGCTGCTGCTGCTCCTGGCGTCCCCGTGATGCCGCCCTTAAAAAGCACAGTCTTAGCTCAGCTGAATCCCATCTACCTATGCCCACACCCTATTCCAGGTGCCCGCCATCAGGCATGCATTCAGGACAAGGATCCATCATCTATCCTGATGGCGGAAGGGCAGAAAAGCCTGATATTTTCTTTACCCTACAACGCGGTGCAGGTTTTCTGATCCCATGCTGACCGGGTAAGGGAGGAGTCAGAGTCCTCAATGGTTTTTTGCAGGTCTTTTATTGGGGTTCACCAGGCATATGGCAGGCAGGGCTGCTGGGGGGCCGGGAGGCTGGCAGGTCTCCCAGCCCCCAGCAAGTCCTCACTCTATCTGGGCTCCCTGGCGTTCTCTGCTTCTGCTTCTTTGCTTCTCTCATCGGCTTCTTTCTCAGCTTCTCCAGGCGTCCCCGTGACGACGCCCTTAAAAAGCACAGTCTTAGCTCAGCTGAATCCCATCTACCTATGCCCACACCCTATTCCAGGCGCCCGCCATCAGGCATGCATTCAGGACAAGGATCCATCATCTATCCTGATGGCAGGAGGGCAGAAAAGCCTGACATTTTCTTTACCCTACACGTGCCAAAAAGAAACACAGTTGTTTTATGTTTCTCATGTAGCGGGATCTGCAATCCATCTGAAATTGATTTGTGTGGGTGAGTTAAGGATCCAGTTAACATTTTTTTTCTGTGTGGATATTCAGTTGACCAGTTGCCATTTATTGGAAAACCTCCTCCCTGCAGGGCCATTGTCAGGGACCAGGTGGCTGTCTATCAGAAGGGGCTCTGTTTCTGGACTCCAGCTGAATCTTGGCTCCCACAGACATACTCTGCCTTAATTACTAAAATTAAAAAAAAATCTTCAGTTTCTCTCAGTAACATTTTGTGCAAGGTCTTATATGTTTTTCATTTGTTTAGGTTTTTTGACACTAATGTTACTAAAATTTCATTTTCTTTTTTTATCACTTACATACACGCATATAATTTGATTTTTGACCTTAAACCCAATGACCTGGCTGCATCTGCTTGTTAATTCTGACAGTGCTTTCTAGGTAAATACCTGGCGTCCCTGAGTAATGTCAGCTTTCTTTCACCTTCTAACTCTTTGCCTTTATTTCTTTGTCTTGCCTCCTTGTGCCTGGGCCAGGAGTGGTATTAGCGGGCATTTTGTCTCATTCTTGAAAGTGACAGCGTTTCAACACCTACATTACATGGGGCATGTTTGTCATACCTGTGTCATTCTGTAGTGACTTCCTGGTTCCTTCTCGGCAGGGTGAAGCCCAGGGTGCAGCGACCCACTTTCCCCATGGTAGCCCTTATGGCATCTGGGGTCTGTGAGGGCATTTGGTTGTCTATACCACTTGTGCAGGCTGCATGACCTGCCCCACCCCTCACATCCTGCTCTGGGACATCTTTCCTGTTTTTATGGTGTGGAGCCGACAGCCTGGACAGATGCAGGAGGAAGGCAGCTTGTCCTTGACAGCTGGTGCGAGTTTAGTGGGAGGGCGGGCACAGCCAGGCTGGAAGGTGGTCTGATGTCTCCATGGTGTTCCGCAGGTGAACCCAGACACTGGCTACATCAACTATGAGCAGCTGGAGGAAAATGCCCGCCTCTTCCACCCGAAGCTGATTATCGCAGGTGATGAGTGGGGGGGAAAGCAGCCACGCTCATCTGAGGACTCCTTGCTCTTACCAAATGGAGATGTGGCGATGTCCCCTGCCCTGTCCCTGCTCACTCCTAGTTTCCACCATGGATAGCTGATCTTCTTGGGTCTAAGTATATTATTTTCTTTCAGGACAAATGTCCGTCTTTGCCACGAGTGTACTAGGTGGTGTTCTCATTGAAGCATCTCGAAACGTTAATCCCTGGCTAATTGGAGGTGGTAGTAATACTCGGGGGCCATCCCAACCACCATGATATTGAAGAGGAAGATCAGAGTAGTTGCCTTTGGCACGAAGATGTTTTGGGAGGGCACCCTTCGATTCCATTTACAGAGATTTGAGAGGGAGAACTCTCCAGACTTCCACATATGCTTATCCAGAGACCATTTTGCCGATCTGCACTGTAGCTGACTCCTGGCTAACTGACCTGACTGGGTCCCTTGGTTATTTTAGGAACCAGCTGCTATTCCCGGAACCTAGACTACGCTCGGCTGCGGAAGATTGCAGATGACAACGGGGCATATCTCATGGCCGACATGGCACACATCAGTGGGCTGGTGGCTGCTGGCGTGGTGCCCTCCCCCTTTGAACACTGCCACGTGGTGTCCACCACCACCCACAAAACCCTGCGAGGCTGCAGAGCCGGCATGATCTTCTACAGGAGAGGTATGCTCCTATGTGTGGGGTGCAGGGGGGTGCCAGTGGCTGTTCTCCTCGGAGGACTCATGTTCATTCTGGGGAGCTGGGAAAAGCAGACCTGGGATTCCTTGATGGTGTTAGGATTCCTTAGAGATCTGCTTATGAAGGGCCAGTGACAGAACTTTAAAGAAGGGATCTAGAAGGAAGCCCTGAGCCACAACTCTTGCCTCATTCTTTGGGTAACCTGGTCCTGGGAAAGGATGCTGTGCTAGGCACCAGCATCCTTTGGCTGAACTAATCCCCACAAGAGGCGGGGAAAGGAAGATGACGTGACTGACTGGGACCTACCAGAAGGCTTCAAGTGCAGTGTTATTTTGGTGAAGTTATTGTGGTCCAGAGAACTCAAATCAGAAATCAAATCATAAGACACTAATGTATAAACCATAGTACCAGTTTCCTCATTTTAGTGAGGAATTTCTGTTGATTCACATCGAAAGCCACATTAGATATCCACTTCTTCAGCCCAGGGAGAGACCAGATGCACTCCCCTTGCATCAGCAGAGAAACTAGCTGAGAACTAGTGGATTCTTGCATCAGCAGAATCCACTGGTACTGGATTTCTTTTAGCCCTGAAGGGTCTCCTTGCCTAGCCCCTGGCCAGGTTGGACACACCACGTGCCCACTCAGGTGCTCAGTGTGCTGCCAGCTCTGCACTTTAGGTGTGTTGACCTCACTGAGGCAGGTAGCCATCCCCACCTGCCTGGGAGATGTCTGTTTCTCCCACTGTTGTAGATGTTGTTTGTTTGACCTGCTTGGCCAGAGCCGATCCTGTCTGTGCCATATATACACTGTGGGATCCCAGGACAGTTATGCAGCCTCTCTGTGCCTGAACCCTCACCTCCAGGGTGGGGATCTGGATAGTGCAGTCTCTTAGACTGCAGTTGTGAGGAGTAAACAAATTCATTTCTGTAAAGTGCTCCAAGAAGCTCTGTAGAGACACGAGCACTTACTGATGAACTTACTTTTTCTCAGAAAGAGACTTTATTCCCTGTTATTTTATAATTACACATAATTATACATTACAGGCAAATGAGTTTTGTCTCCTTCAAAGTTGTCATCCACGAAGACTGTTCTCTTGGACAATTCTTTGAGGAAATATGCCCGAGGCATATCCTTTGTCCTCTTCTCAGTGGAGGGAGATTTTTATTCTTACATTTCATCTATGAAAGGATGGTCGGCCCTCCTGGAAGCAAGGAGCCCCTTTGCTCCCCAGGATTTCGGGCCAGGCCTGCTAAGAGTAGGCCTGTGCACACACCCCGATGGCCAGTTTGGATTTGAGTTCAGATAGGGAGAAAACAAATGGGCCGCCTATCAGATGTTTGCATGCTACTATTTTTCTTCATCCAGGAGTGCGCAGTGTGGATGCTAAGACCGGCAAAGAGATTTTATACAACCTGGAGTCCCTTATCAACTCAGCTGTGTTCCCAGGCCTGCAGGGGGGCCCCCACAACCACGCCATTGCTGGTAAAACATCACCAAACCAAACCCAGAGCCCTGGGGGGGGTGGGGAGTACTTTCACCCATGTGCCCCCATGCAGTCAGGTGGTTGCCCCACTTTTGCTCATCCTATGACCCCTATTTCCTTCTCACGGGTTCACCAAAAGTGTGTCAGGATTTCCACAGTGGGAATAAAGTAGAGGAATGTCAACTCTGTGACAGTATCACAGCTGTCAATGATACCTCTTGCTGGGTGATCATCTTTGTACACCTGGCTTGTGAAATCTGTGATGATCTGAGTTCTTCCACTGTCTTCCCTGGAACAAAGCAATTGGGTAGAGTACATTCATGGGGGGAGCCCAGGATGAAGGTGTAACCTCTCCATCAAGAGAAGCATTAGAGAGTTCCAGAGAGAGAAGAAGGGGAAGCAGTGAATGGTAGAATTTTAGGCACCAGGGGGTGGGTATGTTCACAGAGGGTGTCACAGTCTCCCCACAAGCACAGCTTTACCCACAAGCTCGGCATTGACAGTTTCTGCCACTCTCAGATGTTGGAATCACCTTATCTGCAGCCACTCAGGCCTCTGCCAGTCATTTCCACAAACACTGATTGGAAGCTCAGACACAAGTATTTTGCATTCTCCTCCACTTTCTGTGCCCCTTAAGCAGCCTCAGGAGGGAACACAAGGCACTGATGAGTCTAGATGTGCAAGGCAGAGCTGGGCTGCCCCTTTCACCCAGGCTCGGGTCTGAAGGATCTGCAAATTGGGTGTCAAAGCATTAGCTTTTAGGGCAGCTAAGTAACCATTTCACAGATCTAGCTTAAAGGGCTGTAAAATCCATCTTGCTTAAGAACAGCTTTTCCATTTAACATTAGCATACCTTCCATACCTGGAAGTTTCTCTGAAGCATTTCCTCCAAGAGAAGAGGCTTCTTCAGTAAAGATCTGGAGATAAGCCATGTAATTGTAACTTTAAAAATATCCAGTGCTCCTCCTTATCTGAGATTTCACTTTCTGTGATTTCAGCTACCAAAGGTCAACTGTAGTTGGAAAATACTATGTATATTTTTTGAGAGAAACCACATTCACTTAACTTTTATTATAGCACATTGTTATAACTGCTCTATTTTATCATTAGTTATTATTGTTCATCTCTCACTGTGCCTAACTTATAAATTAAACTTTATTGTAAGTATGTATGTGTAGGAAAGAACAGTATATATAGACTTCAGTACTCTCCCTGGTTTGATGTATCCCCTGGGGGTCTTGGAATGTATTCCCCACTGATAAAGAGCTCTGTACCATTTTGGGGGTAACATAGTCCACTCCCTTCAGTAACATAGAAAAGCAAGGAAGGCTGAATGGAAGCAAGGGGTGCCCTTTTTTTTTTTTTTTTTTTTTAATCTTGGTCTGTCTTCTGATCCTGTCCTGTCTTCCTGACCCTCTGTCTCCTGCCAGGGGTTGCTGTGGCCCTGAAGCAAGCCATGACTCCGGAATTCAGACTTTATCAGCACCAGGTGGTGGCCAATTGCAGGGCTCTGGCTAAGACCTTGATAGAGCTGGGCTACAAAGTGGTAACAGGTACCCACAGACATAGTGGTTTGTCCTGTCAGGATGTGACCCACAGAGCGGTGGCCCTGGGCACTGTGGCCATAGCTGTGGGGCACCTGGGGACCACCTCACCTCCAGAGGAGCCGGTGTGCCAGCTGTCTCCTTGGCTAGGCCATAGGTGGTGGTGACACCCTTGACCCTTGAACAATGTGTGGGTTAGGGACATCGATCCCCTCCCCCGACCCTGAACAGTTGAAAATCTGCATATACCTGGATGTTGACTCTCCCAGAACTGACAACATAAAACGTTGCTTAACGTTTCGTATGTTACACGTCATATACCGCATTCTAATGATGAAGTGAGCTAGAGAAAATGTTAAGAAAATCACAACGAAAATATTTACAGTAGTCTACTGTATTTATCAACACTGTAAGTGTATGTTGTTTGTTTAAAGAAATCCAGCATAGAGGGGGACCTGCGCAGTGGAAATTCCTGTTGTTCAAGGGTTAACTGGGCTACAAAAATCTCTTGTCATCTTCCCCTTATATCCTGTGTCATCAGCACCACTCTGCACCCCCACCGTTTTTTCCCCCAAGATATTCTGCCCTTTCTGTCAAATTTGTAGACCCTGGGCAGGTGGGGTGCCTCCAGGATGTAGGTGGGGGTACTCACTTTCCCACCCTCAGCCACTTCAGCCCCCTCACCCTGCCCTTTTCGGGAGAGATTCCTTCATTTGGCATGCAATCAGCCTTCTGCACTCATACATGTTCAACTTTGTTTCCAGGTGGTTCTGACAACCATTTGATCCTTGTGGATCTTCGTTCCAAAGGCACCGATGGTGGCAGGGCTGAGAAGGTGCTTGAGGCCTGTTCTATTGCCTGCAACAAGAACACCTGCCCAGGTGAGAATTCTTGATCTTTTCTGCTGTTATACCTCTCCTGTCTGCATCTCCTCTGGCCACAGTTATAGTTGAAGATAATTTGGTTCTGGCGACAGACATCAAACAATTTGGAGGGGACAGACACACCATGCTGGGTGGGAGCTAAAGAGGGACTCTCCCAGCCCACTACAGGCATTTGGATGAGGGAGGGAGGGGGCTCTGAAAGACTGCTGGACTTTTCCTTGGGCTGCTAGTCAAATGTGGGCAACACATCTCAAACCCAGACAGGCTGGCTAACCTCAATGTCAGGAGCAAGGGCCTGTGTCAGTATTTAAACAGCAGACAGCTATAAAATGAGTAGCCAGAAAGTTTTGCTGATTCCAGTATTGAAATCAGCTCTGCTCTTCTCCCCTTTGTCTGCGGGCCTGTTCTTTTTGCCCAGTGGTGTGTTGGGTGTGGCCCAGGAACATAATCTGTTTATCTCGAAGGTGACAAAAGTGCATTGCGACCCAGTGGACTGCGACTGGGGACTCCAGCGCTCACCTCCCGAGGACTTTTGGAAAAAGAGTTCCAAAAAGTAGCCCACTTGATTCACAGAGGTAAGGATAAAGGTGTGGAAGTTTGTCACACTGTATTGCGTGCATGGAGTTTTTAGCTGAGTGGTTGAGACCCAGCCACAGACAGACATTTCTGTCGGGGCTGAGTCCCAGGGACAGGAGGTGGCCACCACCACCACCACATTAGCCTCCTGTCTGAGGCTTGTGCACCTGTCCTGCCCAAGGAAGAGTGCATAGAAGCAGCAGCTCTAAGGTGACTTTATATTTACAGCTATCACAGCCCCCAGCCACTGGAGGCATCTGGGAGTAGGGCTTCCAGGAGGTAGGGGGCCTGCTAGGTCACAGATTGATTCTTTGTCTCTTGCCCACACAGGAATAGAACTGACTCTGCAGATTCAGAATGACGTGGGTGTCAAGGCCACCCTGAAAGAGTTCAAGGAGAAACTTGAAGGGGATGAGAAGTACCAAAGGGCCATTAGGGCTCTCAGAGAAGAAGTGGAGAGCTTTGCTTCTCTCTTCCCTCTCCCTGGCCTCCCTGACTTCTAAAGGAGCCGGCTGGCTGCCCTTCCCCAGTGTGGACGTACCGATGCGGCATCGGATCAGCTGCCTAGGAGGGGCCCAGAACCTTTTGAGAAGAGAGAGAAGAACAGCCCCACTTGGGACCTGGTCAGCTGTGTTGTGCCCTCCAAGGTTTCTTTTTGGACTTTACACATGTAATCTTCAAAACGCAAAATTTGTTCAAGGCTCATTGTTAGTAATTCCAAGACAAGTTTAAATTTGAACCTGATTTTCTCACAAATCTATGTAATTTTTCTGGAAAAAAATGAAATGTTTTTTAGCCTTTTACCCATGATTCAGTTAGACAGTGTGGGGCAGGGCTATTGCAAAGATTCTGATGATTTTACTCCCTCTTCTCTTACAGTTACTGGGTTTTCCCCAATCCAATTCAAAAGATAAGAAGCCCAAGTTGTAGTCTGTAAAAGCTGCCCATTTCCAACCCAGAGGGATGCTGCTGAATTGTGACCATTACAATGGAAGAGGGAAATTCTCCTGAAGCTTCCGCTCTGCGCTTTATATCAGAATGACACGCCTTTATGAGGGGCCACCCAGTAATGCTGGGATGTTCTTGAGCGGCAGCTCGGTACACGTGAAAATGGTCTTCTCCTCCACCCCTGGGCCAGGGGCAGAGCCTGGGGCTGCCCTAGTCACATCCTAGCCTGAGAATCAGTGGGGGTTTCCTGGCCTGTCTGAGATAACCAACTCCCTCCTATAATCAGGAAACCAATGTCACCTTCCCAAAGAAACTTTATTTTTCACAAAGCTGAAGTGCAAAACATAGATGACCATTTTTAATAAGCACAATCAAGTTTTTAACCACAGAATGTCTACAAGAATTATAGCTTTAAAAAATACAACCAATTTTTATATTTCAAAAATATCTGAACTCAAATAAATTAATTTCTTAAAAAGTACACTTCTCATACTATTTGTTTGGCATTTACTCTGGTTAAATTCTTGTGCAGTTACACTTAGGAGCTGCTATTACACACGTGTGCGTCCCTACTCGTGCCCCCGGCCTGTGACAGTGACCGCAGCTCACGTGGTTGTCAGACTCACATTCACACGCACAGACAGGAGAACATGCAATAATAAAATAGCTTTTCAAAAAATAACATACAGGAACTTCTCGCAGACTATGCTTTTCACTGCAACCTTAAAGGTGGCATTTATTTCAACCCAGCCCGTGTCAGGCAGTTGGTGGATGTGGTACCCCGTGGTCCTGTCTGAAGTATATCCCTGGGGTCCAGCACACTCTTGGCCTTTACTACCGTACAGGTGGGGAGACAGTGCTGCAGTCTCCACGGAGTGTGGATGTTAAACCAGTCACACATCTGCCTTCAGTTTGGGAGCCATTATGCTGCCAAGACATTCTTACATTGGGGGGACTGACTCCCCACCCCCCAACTGAAGACAAAGGGATGCAGTGCACGCTCCCAGTGGGAGCTAAACAATCACCCCCAGGAAGTGAGGCCCCATACCAACAGGTTAATTCACTACTTGTTTCATCCCCTCCACTCCTGCTCCCTCCCTCCCTGGGGCCATAAAGAAGCCTTCAGGAATAAGGCCAGACTTGGTCCAGTGCCCAAATTCTATCAGGTGAGTCTTGTTTTGCTTCCAACTAGCAGAGATTCAATGTTTCTTCCTTTTTATGGTCTTTTAATACCACATTTCTTTTAAAGATTCCAGTTTTATCATTTTCTACCATCACAGTTTTGGAGAAAAGCCAGAAATGTAGCTGGTTGGCTTCAAAGCATGAACCAAATCACTTTCTTCTGCGCTCTCTAGGGAGCTGGAAGATAAAACCTGACTGCTAGCTTAGAGGATCAGTTCTTTGCAGGCCATCGCACATACCCATGGGGTTCCCCACCACCTGAGACAGTACTAGCAGCAGGACAGGACACTGATCTGCCACACACCAGCAGGCCAGGGGAGGGGGAACATGCATCCAGCACTAGCAGAAGTGGTCAGTGTGCATGCAAGATCTTCCAGGACTGCTCCTGGCCTCCAGAAAGACACTACTGAACTGCAGCAGCTGTGGCACTGGGGATTAAATCTGCTGGCCTTCCTAGGATTTTGAAATGGAATGTGTTACTTGTTTGGGCTTGAAATCTACTGTACTTTGAATATTGCAACTAATCTGAAACAAGTTAAAAGCTTGGTGAGAAATGAGAGGTGAGCCATTAAGGTCTGTTTTCCAGATTCTGGTGCAGTATGTGTAACTTTAGCCACTGCAGGATATTATGGAAAAGTGACAGCTTCCACAATCCAAAGATTCCACTGAAAGAGTGAGGTCCCTAGGGGAGCAGCGAGGTGTAAGGCAGCAGCTCAAGCCGTGTCCCAAGTGCCACAGGTACTCTGAAAGGCTTTAGCGGAGTTCTAAGATGGAGATTCTGGAAATCACTACTGCATAATTGCTAAACTGACCAGGTGTTTCTTAACCTGGACTGCTTTTAGGGGGGAATGGGAGGACTGGATTGGAAGTTGAAATAATCCTCAAAGTTATAGTTAAGTCTAAAATACTAGAGGCACTGATGTCCGGTTTGGGAGAAATGTCTTTAAATGTGCTATAAAAACTTACTGACTTATCACTAGAAGAAAACCTCAGATGAAAAATTTTGAAAAGACTAGTCTCATTGCATAGATCTCCCCAACATTCAGATTTATAGATATGAGACTTCTAGTTCCAGTTCTCCAAAGGGGGGAGGGGGTGTTGGGGAGGGGCAGCCTCACATCTCCACCACCTCTGCCCGTTCTGTGGCTCAGTCCCAGTACTTTTGCATCCCTTTGAAAAGAAATATAATTGGCATCAAGCAATCCTTTGAACCGGCCACAGTGAAAAGTTAAGATTTTAATAAAATTTAAATTCTGAAGTTTAAACTTTAGTCAAATTTACTTCCTAATGAAGAAACAACACTAGTGAGATACTCCTCTTTGCCTTTTCTGTGGCTGGCGCCCAGGACAGTCTGGTCTGTTCACACCCGACCTCTCTCTGGCCTTAGAATCCTTGGGGCCTTCTGAACCATCCTTGACGTAGAAGTTTTCGAGTAAACACACTCCAAAGTGGACTTCTACCTCAAGACCATTGTAGTCGTGGCTTTAGCTTACAGAAGACCAAATATGGTTGACCTTGTCTTTATCCATTTCCCAGGTGTTAACTATGGAGTCCATGTGGGTGTGAAACAGGAACAAATAGCAAAGGCGCTGCCCATGGTTACTTTCCACTTCTTCATTTGGACCCCACAGACCTTTCTTCCCTTGGAGATAAAATGTCACAAGGTCAAGTTTCTGGTGGTCCAAGTAGACAGCAATTAGCCACCTGATTAGAAAAGGAAGCATCTAGAACACGAGGGAGCAGAGGTGGTAACAGAAGGGGAGCCACAGACAGAAACAGGCTGCCTATGCAGCCTTCCCCACATACAGACACGCACTTCACATTTAAAAGCTGCCAAGATGTTCCTGGCGACGCGTGTGTGTGAACATAAGCAAAGGGCACAGGTACGAAGGAAATGGAGATGTAGGCAGCACCATCTGCCACAGAAGTTCCCAGTCACAGCCTCAGAGCAGACTCACACATCTTCTGCGGGGGCTGGGGGCCTGACCAGAGCTGACGACCAGGAGCCAACAGGCTGGGCTTTGTGCCAAGGACCTGGGTGAGAACGGCCCATGGGCCGACATGACACAAACCCTCCTTGGTCACCAGGAGTTTCTGCTTCCCCTCCACAATCTCCCTTCCCCAACTCCCTGAATTCACTGGAGTGCCACAAAGCTGACAGGCAGACCAGGTCTCAACAGCAGGATCCTAATTACACAGAACACGGTGCCAGCCAACGTGCACACGCGTGCCCACGAGCAACCACTTCCAGGTCTGTTTTATCACAATATTCTTAGAACAAATTAAACAGTAATACCAAGAGTTCTCCTTATTCAGAGGGGAAAACAAAACAAAAAAAGGAGTACAGGTTGGGATGAGCTGTGGCGAGGTGCCCGCACCTTGGGCAGGGAAGCAGGTGGGGTGGGGTGAAATATAGTGAGGTGTATACTTTGCAGACTCCCAGAGGTAGATCCACAAAGACATCCACACCAAGAGCCTTCCTCCTTCCTAGATCCCTGCCATGAGTTATCATCACCAGCTGTGCCCCCCCAGACCAACCAGCTGCCACATGCTCATGAGACCCTGTGAGAGGTAGTGAAGTGGTTGCAGAGGTTTGCTATGGGTGAGAAGATGGGTGTGACCTCTGCCGAGTCCCAGCGTGTCAGCAGACCATCCCCAAAAGGCCAGTGCCAACTCTGGTCAGAAGAGCTCTTCATTGCTCACACAGCGGTGATGGCCTCCCAGCACCTTGCCCTGCCTGGCCTCCCGAGCTCCCCATCTCTGGAGTAACCCTCATGCCCAACTGGGTGAGTGATGCTGTCACTCCCGCTGACCCCTGGGAGTCAATTCCAAGGCCGACTCATGGTACTTCTGTGCCTGGCGAGCAAGCAAGCACAGGGTGCCCCCGATCGCTCTGGAGTCTTGGGGCTCAAAAGGTTGTACATTCCTGCCACCCAGCTATGGCAGCCCTTTCTCCCTCCTTCCCACTCATTGAAGGGCATCTGCTGGGATGATGGGCTCTAGGAGGTCTAACAAAGGGCCCCCATCGGGGTCTGAATGAGGCAATGAATGTTCGTCTTCCTGTTTTCCACCAAATCATTCCAGTCAACTGGCTGCTTCCTGTGATTTTCGCCACTGAAGTGTCTGCTGGAACTGAATGTGGTCAGCATGCTCCTCCGTCTGGGCTTCAGCTTCCTGCCTCTCATCCCACCCCAAGGAGGCTTCATTCTGTCCTGGCCACCAGTCCTACAGAAGCCAAGAGCCCCAACCCAGCCCCAGGGCCACTCCTCACCAGGGAGCAGTGAGCTGTTACTATCCTTCTAGCTGCCTTCAGAGAGCACCAGGCTACCCCAACAAACCCTGTCCTGGCCCAAGTTCAACTCGCAAGCTGCCTGGAGCCATTTGTGAACCACAGCTTCCACCTTGGTTCCTTTCTCGTTGATGACACCAGAAGTCTAAACAGCTCAGAGGACTGCCTGGTGTTGCCAACCCCTCCCCTCCCCGTACCCTGAGTCACAGGTCTTGGTCACAGTGGCTAGGACTGACCTCAGATTTTGTACAAAAAGCTGGGGACATAGTCAAACCTGAGCGTGGGGTGGCTGGTCCCCGGAGACTCCTGCATATAGTACAGCTTCAGCAGCTCTGCCAGATACTGGACCACCTTGACATCCTCATTCACCAGACCCAGGTTCAGCTTCAGGAAGCTTGCCTGGCGGCTAGCAATCAGTTCCTCTGTCTCCTTTTCGTGGGCAGGCAGGTGCAGGTGGTGGCAGAAGGTGTAAAGGAACGCCTTGGAGCAGAGCTGGGTGAGCATGCTTTGCACGTGCAGGTAGTAGGTGCTGCCCCGCTTGATTTGAGTGCGATGGTCTGCCAGCCGGGGCACTAAGGTGCCTCTGTAGAGGGGGCAGCGCAGGGTTTTGTTGTCCAGGTCCAGAATGCTTGTGTAGCGGCTGTAGCGGCTCAGGGCGTGGAGGGTGCCAGCACTAGCAGGTGATGCCCCTCTGAAATACATAGACCAAGGTCAGGAGGAAGGGCGAGGGCAAAGAAGATGGAGGCAGAAGCTTGGTGATCGGCCTTCCTGTCTGCAGGCCAGCTCCCATCCTGCCAATACTCACTGACTCTAGAAGACAAATCTGCTCACAATCTTTGAAGGGCTCCTCACGTCCCTTATGACCAAGTTCAAGTGCCTGGATGTGGCCCACAAGGCTATTCACAACCTGCTTCCTGCTGGCCTCTGAGATCTCATCTGTTCCTTCCCTGTTATAGTCATGTCAAGCTTCCCGTGGGGCTTCAAAATCATGGGCCAATTTGCCCTGCCCAGAATACCCTGCCCTCCTTTTTGTGCTTGTTTACACCAATAGAAACCTTATACAGCAATCCCTGAGTCCCTCCTCTGTTCTCTTGCTATGTGACCTTGGTCTCTTCCTGAACCTCTCTGAGCCTCATTTGTAAGCTGTTATGACAGATAACAGCTCCTGCCTCATGAGGTCACTGTGGAGACAAAATGAGTGGTACCTAGGAGAGAGCCTGGCGCTGACCAGTGTGGTGACTGCTGTGTGACTTCTTGTTTCTCCCACTGGACAAGGAGCTTCTGCTGACCCAGGGCTATATCTGACTGTCCTCCTGACCTCATGCCTGGTACTGTGCCTGGCACATCAGGCAGGCTGGCAAGGTTTGTTCAGAGAGGAAAGGAGGGAATGGTGAGCCTTAGCATGCTGCTCCTTAAAACTTAACACCTCTAGACAGTTTTCCAAGGAAGCTGGGATTGCCCCACAGAGATTTAGGGCTTGTCAGACCTAAGGTACTGTGTTCAAGAAGATGTGGTATATATGCACAATGGCATATTACTCAGTCGTCAAAGATAAACTTATGCCATTTGCAGCAACATGGATGGAGTTGAAAGGGATTATGCTGAGTGAAATAAGTCAGAAGAGAGAAATATCAGATGGTTTCACTTATAAGAGGAATACAGGGAAACCATACAAGGGATCAGGGGAAAAAAAAAGACAAAACTAGCAGACAAACTATAAATCAGAGCCATTCATTAGGGGTGGGGGAGAGAGAGGGATCAAAACAGGGGAGGGAAGAGCACGAGAGAGTATGGTGATGGTTCACGGGTGTCCTGGTGGTGGGAACTTTATGGGGATTACACCCAAGAGGAGAATGAACATCAATGTAAAAAAAAAATAAATGAAATTAAAAGACTGACAGGCGCTTGGCACCAATGTGATCTCACAATATGTTTTCCTTCCAGGGAGTTACTTTCCTATATAGCTTACCAAGTTTGGTTGAGAAGAAAAGACAGAGCCTCACCACCTGTCCACCAGTCCAAGCACATCTAAGGGCCAGGCACAGTCACACACCTAGATACTGACTTTCCCTACAGTTCTGCATGGTAGGTGCTATCAGGCCGATTCACAGACATGAATGAAGGAGAGATGACTGGTCCAGATTGACACAGCTAATAGTGGCAGCACCAGGACTGAACTCAGACCACCACCACCTCCTCTCTAACTGCCATGGACCACAATCCAACAGGCTTCGTCTCATGATACTCCTTGTTCCCTGCTCAACTCCCAGGATTTCTCCAGGTGAGCTGTAGCAAATCTAGTCTCCATTCCATGTCACCCCTTCAGTGGACCCTGCAGTGACACATCCCCATGCAAACAAGGGCTCCAACCCATGCCTACCATACTCATGCCTGAGCAGGACCCTGTGGAGACAGATGTTTCCAATTCCCAACATCTGCACATCAGGTTCAAGGAGTAGTGGACGAGGTGATGAGACACTCTCCCACTTGGGATTCCCTGGAAAGATCTCCCCTGTCACTTCTGACAGACCAATGCTTAAAGGCTCTGAAGTCTGGCCAGTGAGGGCCACACTCAGCTCCAGCCGCCCAGCCTGCCTGTCTCGCTGAGTCCTGCTAGCGTACAGAGTGATGCTCACCCTTACCCGGCACTTAGACATCAGCTGTCACAGGGTAGCCCTCGTCAGCTTCTGTCTGCAGATACAAACAGTCTCACCGTCTTGGAGAAGTCAAGCTGACAGGGTGGTGACAGAGCTGGGGCTGGAGT